TATATATATATATATATATATATATATATATATATATAGATATGAATGCAGTAATTCCAGTACGAGTATTTATATAAGAAATGATTTAGTCTTTATAACAGTTTTTACAGTGGGGTTAGTATGTTCTTATACTATGTTTTAAAACCTTGTTTTTGGTCCACTCACTCTTTTTAATGTTTTACGCCCCCAGGCAGTAAGCGTGCAAAGTGAGCCACCACCAGGCCGAGTCCATCATCCGCCACCTTCCTTGACAAAGTAGGGTCTTGTTTAATTAGTTTTACTTGTAATCTAATCTGTGTAGAGCTCTGATATTGCCCTAGAACACTTGTCTAACTGTTAGTATGTAAATTTTTGTATGCTGGCAGTTGGTGTATATTTTTATATGCATGTTTGATAGGTGTAATCTTGGGATTGGTCTAATCGCAGGGGAGACTCTGCTGAAATTTTCGGCAAAAGTCAAACCCCAGTTTTAAGTGAAGCTTGACTAGCAGGGCAATTAGGTCAGTTGTGGCCGGCACTTGCCAGGTGTCGGACACGCACAGGATTCGGCTCAGATTTCAAAGTGGAATTTGGATCGGGTCCTGTCAGTATGGTCAGAAATTAACTGATGATGTGAATACTGTGGGATCCACCTCATGAATTGACTGACCACTTACACTAAGTATACCTCCTTTAAAAAAAAATCTTAAAATCCATTATATTAAATGATAAAAAAAGATAAAAATTAAACAACCTATTAAAAAATATTTGAAAAAAAAAATTCATACCCAATCGCACCATCCCAGCCCTTGTCCCATTCCCAAGACGCGGCCCCACCCCGACATTCCCCACTTCCGCTCTTATTGTATCTATGCTCTCTCTCACAGTTCAGTGGCATTGCCAAACCATCTCACCTTCAAAAAACAATCCATCTATGCATCCAATTCATCATCCAAACAGAGAAGAAAGGAAAATAGAACAACCAAAACAACCAACCATTACACCTAACATCAAATACCCAATCTCTCTTTCCCTCTTTGAAAATATGATCAAGTCACCCATAGCCTCTAAAAAACTAGTTCTTTCTTGGTGAAATGACTGCACCACCATCATTCATCAGTCTAATCTCACAGCAACACAACCACCTACAAAAGTATGAGAAAAGCCATCTTGAATGGAGTTACCGATGTAATCTCCCCCACGTTGACCACCACACCACCATGCGACACATGCCATGTGCCACTCAACTCTCGAGGCTCTGCCTTACGAAACCCAACCGCACCAACCATACCCGATCTCTCTCTCTCTCTCTCTAACTGGCAAAACCATCATCCTTTAGGTAGAGAGAGAGAGGATGATTGTGTTAGAGCTTTCAACCTAAAGGATGATGGTTTTGCCAGAGAGAGAGAGAGAGAGAGAGAGAGAGAGAGAGAGAGAGGCTATGGTTGGTGTGGATCAAGGTCTAAAATATCGATGATATCGGAAATATCGGTAGTCCAAAAACACGGAAATTTCGATGGAAATATCGGGATATTATCGATATCGATAAAAATTGAATAAAAACCACGGAAATTGTAAGAAAAACTCGGAAATTTTTATTAAAACTTTGGAGAATGTTTATTTAGTCAATTATCTATTAGTTTATCACCAAAAAAAAATTAATAAGAACAAGATTTTTGAAAAGTAAACACCGATTCATATTCCTATTTCTGAAAAGCAAAGATAATAAGGCAAATTAACAACAACGCATAAAAACCCAATAAATCAAATTATGCCTGAAGAGATTTCACAAATAAACCAATTAACAATCACAGGATGATTCTATGAATCCTAAATCTTAAACATGCAAAATTCACCAAAACACTCACCTTACCCAAACTGAAGCAAAGAGATAACAAATTACAAGTTAAAATTACAAATATGATACCTGTTTTAGGATTAAGAAGATAGAGATATTGTGAAGCCTTGAGGAATTAGGAATGAAAGGGCTTTTGTCAAAGTGGTAGTTGTCGCTGGAGCACTAATGGTCGTTGGAGAAGTCACCGTCGCCGGAGAAGTAGCCGACGACGAAACAGTATTGATCGGCGGCCACTGATTTGAGGAACGCAGATGGCTATGAGTTTTGGTAGCAGAGCGAGTAAAGAGCGAATAAACAGAGGTAGATGAATGAAATAGTTGTAATTTTGATTAATATTTTAAATGAATAAGTGAGGCCAGGTCCTCACATGTGTGAATATGTGATGACAAGTAACCCTAAAATATAATTTTTATTTTGGGGCGGGGAAAATTTTTTTTTCTTCCCTTTTTTTTTTTTTTTTTTGTTTTTTCTTTTACATCGATATTTTTGATATTTTCGATATTTTGACAAAATATTGCTAAAGTGTGAGCGAAATTATCGACATCGATATTTTCTGATATTATCGTTGATATTGTCGATATTTATACGATATGTACATGGATATGTTCCGAAATATCCGTGATTCGAAAAAATCGAAATATCCTTGATATTTTGTCAATATTATCGATATTTCATACTATGGTGTGGATTTGTAGTTTTTTAAAAATTAAAAAAAAAAAATCTTTTTTATTTATTTATATAATTGATTTTAAGATTTTTTTAAAAGGAGATTAGTGAGTCAATTCATGAGGTGGGGGTCCCACCGTATCCATGTCATTAGTTAACGTCTGACGAGATGGTCAACTTAATGGAGGGTGTAAATTGGTCACTTTTAATATTGTTAGGGTGTAAATTGATGAAATTCCAACCTTGTTGCCCATATTGAAAATGACCCCAAACTTCCAAGGTGTGAAATGTCATTACCCTAATTTTTATTTTTATTGCTATGCCACATGTTGGAATGATTTCCAACTGACGTAACTTTCAAGTTGTGATTATTGCTTGATGCTACAACAATACTGAATAGAGAATCTTTTATGCCCGAATTCAGTTTTACTGATTTTCGTCAATTTAATTTCCTTAATATTATGTTTATTTTCCATTTTGTAGCAAGATTGTTGCAATTGATTATTCATCTTTCCATTAGGCTATTTATAGTCAGGTTATTCAAGGCGCATATTATCGATTATTCGTCTTTCTTTTAGGCTATTTATAGCACACTCACACAATATAATCTCTTGCCTATTTCTAAGGTTGGGGCGATTTTTTTTTTTTGGACAAAGCTGGGGCGATTTTGGGGCAAGCATTTTTTGGCACGCCTAGTTGGACTTCTAGTGCAAGATTTGAATCATGAATCAATATGGTTACAAAAACTATAATTCGAACTACAGTGAAGACAATGACAACAAGTTGCCAAACTATGGCTACAATCCAAATTAGTATTATTATTAAGGACTAATGTCATTTTAGTCCCTGGAGGTTTAGGGTCATTATCGAAATGGGCCCCCAGGTTTCAATTTCATCAATTTCGTACTTGACATTTCCAAAACTTACCAATTTACACCTGCTGTTACATTGACCATCAGGTCAGACGTTAAATGATGACATGGCAGTCGTGGGTCCCACCACATCAGGTCAGACGTTAAATGATGACATGGCAGTCGTGGGTCCCACCACATAATCTAACTAGCCAGTCGAAATAGTCCAAACGAAGGGCATTTCCGGGAAAAAAAAATTTTGTTTTGTAAAAAAGGAAGTTAACTGTCTGCTTCGTTGCACCTTATATTCAACATAAGGCGAGAGGAAGCTGGCCAGAGGAAACTAGCGAAGAAGATCTAGAAGCGATTGGATGTCAAGAATGGATGAAGAGGCGCCGATGTGTTGGTGTGGCAAGGCTGCTACAATTCGAACCTCTTGGACAAATTCGAATCCTGGGAGGCGATTTTCCATGTATAGAACAAAGGTACGTGAGAATAATAAGGGTTTTAAGGGTTACCAGTTCTGGGCATGGTTTGATTCGGAAATGTGTGAACGGTCAAAGGCAATGATTCCTGGGCTTCTAAAATTGCGGAACAAGTTGGAGAAATCAGTGGCAAAGGCAAGACAAAGAGAAAGGTCGTCTGGGTGTTGTTGGTGGCTTCGTGGGTACTGTTTGCAAGCTTCATTTTGGGAGGGATGCGTGGATCTGGAGTGAACAAAAAGAAGAGTTTCGAATTAGCTTCTACCATGCTATGAAGTGTTTCTGGGTTGTTGGTTATTGGGGTATTTGTGTTGTTTATGTGCTTTTGTATGTGATTTTGTAAGGGTTTACTTGCTATGTAAGGGTTAAGGCACACATGAAATGCATTTAGTAAGTTTTTGTTTGTTAATGGGATTGTGAAGGCAACATTTGCAGTGAATTACATGTAAATGAAGTGAAAATGAAGTGAATGCCCAAAACAATGTAAAGAGAAGTTTGAAAATTTTGCCAAAACAAGCAATTCCTAAAACAATACATGTGCTAAATGAAGTCAAATTATGCAAACAATAACTTAGAAAATTTTCCAATCAAAATGGGCTCAAAATAGCCAGATAATACATTCACAATTACATATTTCTTGTCCTGTGAAATCCATTCCAAAAGGGCAATCAGTGGATGTATTTGCATTCACAGTGGCTGAAGCTTATGTGAATGCCATTACATCCATAAAAAAAGGTCATTCATTAAGTTACACATGACCAATTGACCAAAAACAACCCTTAATCACAAGTCATTAAGTTATACAGGACCAAGTTATACATGACCAATTTACCCTAGGGTTTAGGACCCTTTAATCACAAAATGCTAGTCTAACAACCCCAAACTATAATGATTCCCTTTTTCAATTAGCTTCAATCTACAACATTTGATCCTGCAATTGATGCACAAGTTGATGAACCAGGACATGAAGTTGAGGCCACTGGAGGTTGAGAAGTGGCATGTCCTTTCTTACTTGGTTTTGGTTGCACAAATTATTCAGGATGTTAAGAGAGGATTTGGAATTTGAAGAAAATTGATAAGAACCATCATAAACAGAAGTTAGTTACCAGAGGTTTCCCTTTTTGCACATGCCTTGGAAGCTTGGATATTTTCTTTTTGGTGCTTGGACCAGTTGAAGTGGATGCTTGGGATGGATCAATAGTGGTCTACAACATAAAAATATTTGTCAAGATGCAACAAAAGTAAGTATTATTAAGGGATAGAATTGAGCAAGATTGAGTTGCTATACCTAGATATTTTCAGTACTTCTCTTCCCCTTACTTGCAGTTTTGGCCTTTGGGGGAAGATTCCTATGCCAAGTCCTCCTATTGTGCCCCTTTTTACCACATTGCCCACATTTGAGAGAGTCCTGTGTGTTGGGAATATGATTTTGCCCTTGTGCTTTCCCTCTTCTTTCTTTCTACATTTTCTTGGCCTTCCAGGTTGTTTAGAGTAAGAAGGAGGAAGACATGGTGGAAAGTCAGTCTTACCCCACATATCCATCCCATTCATAGGTAGTATGAGATTATCATATGTCTTCAAGTAAGTTGTTGTCAAATAGCAGTCATCCACAAAATCCATGACATTAAGACCCCCTTTATAATTTATGGCTGAAATATCATGAACACAAGGCCATCCCTGCAAATCCCATGCTCTACAAGAACAACTCTTTAATTCCAAGTCCACAATATATTGTGCATGGCCACCAGTTAACACTTGGAATTTACCTCCACCTGACCACATTGCCACACAAGCACTTGCCTTGGCTTTATTTGCCTCCACCTTCTTAACAATTCTTGGGCAGATAGGGTTGTTCCATTTTTTCATTTTATCTCTTCTTCCCTGTATTCTCTTCATCAGCTTACATCTAATATACTCCAACATTGTAAGAATAGGTCTATCCCTACATTCCAATATGGTACCATTGAAAGACTCGCACAGATTATTCAACACCATGTCACACTTCAAATGAGTGCTGAAGTGTGATTTTGACCAATGCCTTGGAGGTTTATTTGGAGTGGTGAGCCATTCATATGCATCCTTAGACAGTTTTTTAAGTTCTTCCATGGCCCTTGTAAAGTGGGGAATATTGGTTGCATATGATGCTTCCCAAAACTTGTCTCTCAAGCCTTTTGCTTTGAACAATATCCTATAGTTGCTAAAAAGATGTCTTGCACAGAACCTATGGTCACAATTAGGGACCACTTGCTCAAAAGCAGGCAATAATCCTTTTTGTTTGTCAGATATAAAGGTGAAGACAAATTGATTAACAATCTCACAATCCTTAACCAATAGCTCTAGAAACCAAATCCAAGATTCCTTGCACTCTGATTCCACAACTGCGTATGCAATCACCCAGGTTTCATTGTTGCCGTCTATACCCACTGCAGTTAAAAGTTGCCCTGCATAAACACTCTTCAAAAAGCACCCATCTAAACCTATAATGGGCATGCATCCAGCTTTGAACCCTTCCTTAGCAGCTCCTAAACAAACATACAACCTTTGAAACTGTGGTTTCCCCAACTTTTCTTTGAAATCACACTTAACCATTGCTGTGGTTCTTGGATTAGTGTTCCTTAATTCTTGACAATAATCCCATATTCTTGAATATTGTTCATTAAAAGTTCCCTCAATCAACTTTAGTGCCTTCTCTTTTGCCCTATACACTTGTTGTTTTGACACCCCTGTATTATAATCCTTCTCAACAGTCTCCTTGAATGAGCTGACAGGCCAATGAGGATTGGTCTTTAATGTCTCAACATATTTCTTGCTTATCCAAGTTGACTTGACAGTAGGGTTCTCCCATAACTGTGTACATGTGTGCTCACGTACATATGTCTTCACTTGCAATGTGTTCTCATGTTGCATTTTTGAAGCATATATCATCCACTCACAATCTGGGTCCCCACAAACTGCCTTCAGCTTCCAAGCCTTACTCCTAATAAATACAACATCCATTTTCTACAAGATGGCGTGTTCTCTGACAGCTGCCCTAAAGACCTTACAATCAGTAAACAACATGCCAATCTCAAACTTTGGATCTGCCATGTCAGTTGCAGCATTGAACTCTAGCCAATTCTTATCACCTTCATGGTCAAAATTACAGTTGGCATAATCCTTACACTCAAAATCTTCAGAATCCAATTCAACATCTGTAGGCCAATCAGGAGCAACCTCATTCCCAGTTTGTTTCACCCCTGTCCATTCAGTTTGGTCATCCACCCATTTTTCAAAAGAAGCATCATCTTCATCTTCATCTCCATCTTCACTAAAGTTCTTGGAAATCACATAATCAGAGTCCTCACTATCAGCAGAATCATCATCAAAATCTTCAAAGTTTGCAGCATTTGCATATCTTCTTCTACTTCTCAACTTCTTGGAATGGCTTTTGGACTCGGTCCTAATGCCCTCAACAGTTCCTTTCACAGCTTCTTTGTCTTTCTGTTGAACATTATTTTTCCTCCTCAATCCCTTGCATCTTTTTTTTACCAAAAGCAGACTTGACCCTATGTGACATGTCATCCGTCACTTTATGTTTGCCTTTGCCTTTGTCAGAAGAACCCTAATTATTGACAGTGGTATTGACAGTAGCCTTTTCTTTGCCTTTTGTAGAAGCTTCATCAGTCAACCCTTCTTCATTCAACTTTTTGCCTTCTCCACCTGCTTGTTCATTAAACCCTTCTTGATTCAACTCTTTGCCTTGTCCACTTGCTTGTTCATTAAACCCTTCTTCATTCAACTCTTCTATTACAACACTTGTTTTTTTCACCTTTCCCACCTGGGATACTCCCCCACCCATTGCAACAATGGCACCATAATTGTCATCAAGTTCTTCAATCACTACCCCAGTGTTGGTCCCAAAATCATCATCTAAATTTATAAATATGTTTGAAGCCACTTGACTGTAAAACTGCTCTTGACTGCATGCCAACACATGTTCTAGGAATATATTTATCAACCTAGTGTCTGGCACAAATGTTAGCATGTCTAAAACATCTGCATCCTAACTCAGCTTAACTAAGCCACCATCAAAATGACCACCTGGAATATTGTACCAGTAGTTAATGATACCTTAGTACCCTAACTCCTTTACCATGCCATCTATCTTAGTCATTGACATTCTATCCTTATCACAATAATCAAACCAATCAACAGACCCATTCACATAATAGTTACCTTTTAGTTCACCATTGTGGTACATTTCAATAGAAAATCCATCCTCATCCCCTACATGTCAAAAGGCACACATAAATTTTAGTCCCTAACAAAAATACATTCAAGGCTGTTTACACATACAAAAAGACACAAATCATTTTCCAAATATAAAAGACAGAAATCATTTCACCACAAAAAAAGACACAAAAGCCAAACTTTTCATGCCAGTACACACATACACAAAAGGAAAGCATTACTGTCATTATATGACCACATACAAAAGCCAATCAAATTGACACAGTAACAGAAAGACACACCTAACTTGAAACTCACAATCAACATCCATTATAAAAACCCTTGTTTCCAATAGGCAAGTTTCACTCGAAAAACACCATATGCCAAGAATCTTAACATAGTAACCCATACGTACCGTAGAAAGGTTGTCCATATCCTTTGGGACGAAGTGCCCAACTCATATTCTTCAGTTCTTTCCCAAACCTCCGTTTGCAGTTTGATTTTTGCACTAGATGAAGATTCTTTCAAGATTTCGAAGAAACCCTCTCTCAGTCTCAGTCTCTCTTGAAAACTCAAAAACAACAAATTTTTTCCTTTGTTTTGTTCAATTTCATTGTCCAAGCCTTGGATATTGGAACAAGATCCTTGGAAGGCGAGCCCACGCAGACATTTAACTTCCTTTTAAAAAAAAATTCCCTGAAATGCCCTTCGTCTGGACTATTTCAACTGGGTAGTTAGATTATGTGGTGGGACCCACGACTGCCACGTCATCATTTAGTGTCTGACCTCATAGTCAATGTAACGGCCAGTGTTAATTGGTAAGTTTTTGAAATGTCAGGTATGAAATTGATGAAATTGAAACCTGAGGGCCCATTTCGATAATGACCCTAAACCTCCAGGACTAAAATGACGTTAGTCCTATTATTAACAATAATGGTAGTCAATATAGCTACAAGCAAAAAGTATGCATACATAAAGTTATCTAACCTATAAAGAATTAAAAATTTGAAGCAAGATTCAGGGAGCGCAAGCAAAAGGAGAGCACAGGTTCAAATCCCGTTGGGATTTCACAGCAAAAAAATGTGGAAGAAGAGAGAATGAGAGATAGAGCAAGAAAGATTTAGATTTGGGGTTCCTTCCCCTGGATCTCGTCAGATCTGGGTGCATTGGCGGACTATGATGTTTTTCCCTCCTTGTTGCATATCTGGTTGTACATGCGTTAGATCTAGATGGCTTAGGCTGTGAGAACCATCTTGTGAAGCATTTGATGCGTTGTCGCTTTTTTAGTTGTGTTTTGTTGAGTTTCTTTAGTTTTGGTGGTGTTTGTTAATAAACCCCAGAAACTCTTTTGTTGCGTTGTTTGTGAGTTTGTTTGTTTTTGTCACAGGAACTTGTTTGAGTTTGCTGGGTTGTCTAGTCTCTCTAGGAAAGTTAGGTGAGTTATATCGGTTAACGACTAGTTTTGTTCTTGATAAACTGCCTTGATCAAGAACAATGAAGACGGTAGGTTGGGGGGTTTTAGTCAAGATATTTTTAAAATCATTTCTCTCCAGATCGGTTCAGCCCTAGGCTAACTTAGGTCATTAGGGAAGATTTACCCAATTCCATGTCCATCTTATTGCCAATTGGGATGGCTCGCGTTGTAATTTTCTAGTTCTTCGAATAAAATTCTGTCACTTGTAATTCTATCGCTTGAAGCAAGATGTAGGAGAACAAACACTTGTTGCCATTTCAATTATATTTTTCCTGTGTGCAGCTATGGAGTAGGGACTCTTGAGACCAAGACTTACTTCATGTTAGTTCATATAGGGAACAAAAATTAAAAGGTATTATTTTCCAATTCTTTTTTATTTGGATAAAAGTCATGGAGTCCTAATTGTTTGTACGTATTGTTGCATAAGCTGGTAGGTCTGAATTACTTAGTGTTAACATGTGTCGCCACTTTAGGGATAAGAGTTATAAATTTCTGGTTGAGCTCAGATCTCTCTAGTGATTATAGGTTGAACACCCAATAACACGTTGCCCATGTTTCAAGCACAATTAGTTTTGAAGAGGTTGGAAAGTAGGTCTTGAACTTAGCACCGATTATCACTTTTGTCGCCACAAATCCATGCACCATTATCACTTTTGATATGTGTAACACGATTACGTTGTTGCCTCTAAATAGTGGAGAGGTGGAAGAAGGAAGTGTTCGAGTTGCCCGCCTTAAGCCAATTAGTTATAGACATTTGTTTCTAGAAAATCTTCCTTTTTTTTCCAAAAGGAGCCCAACTGTTTTTGGATCTCATTATGTCTTGCCCTTGATGAATGATCATTACTCCCATATTGGAGAAGCTTCGGCTCATTCATGAGACAATCAATATGCACTTTTTCATTCTTCACCATTGATTTACTCCATTTTGTAACTCATTGTGGCACCAATTTAACTTACCAATCAAATTTTTTTGGTATGGCTAATAACATACTTTTCCCAACACCACTTGATCATGTCTTCACAATCTAGCATCTCAAAACATTTGGTTTCAAATCTGAACACCTTACCACCTTTTTGAAGATTAGGGTTGCAGTCAAGAACCAAGGGGCAGAGGTTGGATTCAATTCTGGTTCCAACGGTAGTACATGAGGTTGGCCACTTTTTGAACTAGTAAGGGTTGGCCAAAGCTCGATCTAGACGCTCTGTGACAGTGTTAGAATCACCAAAAGTCACCTCCCACTTGAAAATGTGTCCTTTAAACCCTAGGTCAATGAGGTTATTGCTTGTTATGAACTACAACATGTAGTGTTTTCTTCTAGGATTCCAGTCAACCCTACCCTCTTTTTCGTGTTGCCAAATAACCTCATTGAGATCACCAGCATCTTTTTTGTCAAAATTTGTCAGGGAATTTCAAAATTCCTCTTTCTCTAGACCATAGGGAGTTCCATATAATCAAGTGCATCTTGCGAGAAAGTTGTCAACTGTAGAAAGAATAGTAGTGTTACATTAAATACTCAATTCTCTAGTAGTGTCTACTAGATCTACATTGTAACCTTTTTGAAAACCACAATGCCGTTCTATCATATTTAACCTATGGCTACTCATTTTTGCTTCCATTAAGTAAACTATAGAAGGGTTTTTTGAGCGAATGAGCTCCTTTAGGTAGAGAATTGTCAAGGGATTCCCTAAACCTCGACAGTTCCCGAAGAGGTATATTTACTAAGCTCGTGTGGTTGTTTGAGGCCAGTCACCACAGCCTTGAGGGTTTTCTTCCTTCACATTCTTGTTCCTTTCTAGTCATGTTTCCACCACCTCTTGTTCTTTGGAAGGGCTAATTACCACCTCGCATAGATTGTTCTCGAAGCAAAGAAGTTTGTCACTTTTTTTCTTGGTCTCTCTTGCAAGATTACTTCTGCCACGACCTCCTCTTAGTTTCCCTCACGAGTTTTGACCTCCTTTGCATGAGAAGTGAAGGGAACAACCATGGCTAGGACTAAACAAAACCCATTGTCGCTTGTTTGGCCCTTACAAAAGCCTTGAGTCAATTATCTTTTCCTTCCCATTTCTATGTTTTTCCTCGCGATTAGGTTCTAGATCAAGATCGTGCTCACTTGGCTCAAACAATATCGAGTTTTGAACCTCCTCAATCACTAGTTGGGCTGACACCCCATAGAGAATGAATCCCAACACAACCGGTTTGGGCCCAATAGGCGAGTTGGGCTCAAAGAAGCACAAATCATCAAGGGTCAAGGTGGGATGGTTTTTGGGTCACACCAGCTTTTGTGAAAAGAGAGACTTTTGACCTCTAGGGTAA